CTTATATTTTGAATGTCTTGTTCCATTTCACTATGCAGTATGGCCGCGTCATTATCCTAAAATCCGATAAGTAAGGACCGTGGACGTCAATTATAAAGTCGTCGGGAGCTACGATTAGGCCTGCTTTAAATAAAGAATACCTTTTATGAAGTGAACATGACTATCTTTGGATTTGAAAGTGACTACTTTTTGATGCTTTGAGGTAGGTGCAATCCGGATAGAGAATTGCTTGGTTGCAATTTTATACCCTTCTCCCCAGGGGTTCTTTTCAATTTTTTCGCACAGTTTCATCATAAGCGCTTTTTTGAACTCCGCATAGTCGCCTGCCTCCATCTTACTGCCAGTTATTTGCTCTTTTTTGTTCTTTCTTATCAGGTTTCTTCTGCTTTGTTCAGGCTAGGCATTCCCTCCTAAGTCCCGCGACCTCCTTTGTACATCAATATACTGGATTTCATATTTTTTCCTGGTTTATGTTTGGGATTGCTCTATTGCAAACTTCACTTAGCGTTTCGGATACTTGTTCCGGTGTCATGATGGGACCTCTTTCTTTAATTCTACCGATGGCCTTCATGAGATTTCCCTGGTTTCACCGTCCCTTGACGGGAGGAATTGGTTTGTTGTATTTCTGCAGTGTCTCCAAAATCCAGATCCAATACCTTCCACTCCAGTATTCTTGATCCCACTCTGCCCCTAAAGATGGTGAAGTCTATAATTGAGCTGGCATCTCCCCTGCTTCTGTTTAAATTGTCAATTATTTAGAATTAGGTATTGTAATTTTGATCTTCTCTTCCGGTGGGGTCTTGATAGGAAGGCTGAGTATCTCATATTTTCTTTTTGGGCTTGGAACATTGTAAAGGTTATACTACGCACCTTGGAATTCCCAGGATAGAGCTGTGCACAGTCTCATTGATCCAGATACCTCCGACCTATTGCTCTACACATGTGTATGAGGTTATTTTATGTAAGAATTTTAATTCCTAGACATTACCACCTTATCACATAACTCAATAGACCTGCTTTTAGTACTTAGTTATCCCAGTAATTTCCAAATTTATCTAGGTATTCATTTATTTTTGGAGGGACCGCCTTAATTTCGCAATTCAATAATAGTTATTTTTGTATCTAGTGCGCGAAATGCTACTTTGTTGATCGAGAACTGATTTTTTTACCGAAGCGCAGCCGAGTTAAAAAATAGTCGAGATCACCAAAGTATATCGATCATTCGAAACTTAAATTGCATTTACAATCAAAGGTAGGTGAATTTTAATTATTTTTGGTGTCCTGACAGGTATGTGTCACCATGACACCAGTGTGCGAACTAGCTATTTCGCGCACATGTGTGCGAAATAGCTAGTTCGCGCACGGCGTCATGGGAACGTTAAAAAATTCATACCTGGGAAAAAAAGTGTCACTTCGCAAATTGTCATCAGTGTGCAAACATCATCGTTTTTTGACAGTTGTAGAAAAAATATACCTATTATTTTTACAAACTATATATGTGCTCTAATTATTACCTAATTATTAATACCTACAAGACAATTTATTTAATTTTCCTATCTCTGAAGTTGAAGAAACCCAAAAATATAACTATCCTAACTCCTAACAACAAAGTTATATGATAGAGTATATAACTTGATAAACCTGCGTTTAGTTATCCCAGTAATTTCCAAACTATTCTGATTTTCAGACTCCTACTTAGAGGAGGGTTCAGACCAAATTCTGTTTTGTGAAAATCTGTATGAAATAGATATCTGTGTTTTACTTGTCTTACAGGAACATAAAGCTTGATTTGCTCTAGCAATGGAGGGCAATCTATGTGGTAATTAGGAAGATCATAAACAAAGCGCAATTCGATTTTTGATCCACGAAACCCTAGGAACTGATGTTTGAGGCTCACTGTTGTGACTTCATAGTTGTGCTCGATCACTCGAATCCCAGTCTGATATGCACAGAACCTTAAAAATTTGTTCTGAACTCTCTCAACGGAAATCTTCCCAATATTATGATTGGGTGACCATACAAACAATGATACAATGCAACTATATTCCAATTTAGACCTCACTAAACTTGTGTAAATACATTTAGCAGAATTAATTGAGAAATTCATACAATTCCTTAAAACAAAACCCAACAGCTTAGAGGACTGCACCACCACCTTCTCAATATGCTCAACAAATTTTAATCCCTCATCGAAAATCAGACCAAGGTCTTTTATTTTGGGTGTATATTTAATTTCTTTATTTTTGACATAAAAATTAGAATTAATCTTTTTGTTGAATCTAAAAAAACCTATTGTATAACATTTGTCAACATTTAACTTCAGCTTACTTACCTCGCCCCATGTGACTAAGCGACTTAAACCTTCCTGTAATAATACAGTATCAGAATCATTATATATTATTCTAAAAAATTTGAAATCATCTGCAAAAACTAATGCTATACTATGATGAAAGTGTTGTGTAATATCATTAATATTGAAAAGCAATGGTGAACAGTGGCCGCTCTGCGATACAGCAGATGTTGCTAAAATATTTTCAGACAAAAAACCACCAATCTTAACTTTTTGTACTCTACCAGTAAAAGTACTAGAAAACCACCAAATTAGGTTTGAATGGAACCCAAACTGATGCAATTTTCCAAAGAGCAAACCATGATCAACACTGACAAAGGCCTTGGAGAAATTTGTATAGATAGCATCAACTTGATTCTTATCTTCCAAGGCCTGCATCAGTAATGACTGATATAATATCAAGTTGGTGGTTGTGGATTTGCCCCTTGTAAAACCATGCTGAGCCTCATCGATCAGTCCCATGTCAATTGCTCACATATCAGCTTATCAAGCAGCTTTCTAATGACAGATTGGGTACAAATGCTTCTATAATTTATTATGTTCTGTTTATCGCCACTTTTAAAAATTGGCACTAAAAAGCTTTGTTTCCAGAGTTCTGAATATTCCGAACTAATCATAGAATTATTAAATAAAATTGTGATTGGTTTTGTAAGTGTACAGACACATTTCTTCAAAAGTAACTCAGAATATTATTGGGCCCCACCGTGACCCGATCAGAGAGTCTCAACCTTGTTTTATTCCTTTCATCAAGCAACATCACACAATCGAAAGCAATGTGGTGATGACTATCCTCGGAGAGGGGATTAATAGCCTTATTAATAACTAAGTTAGCCAAGTTTGTAAATGCAAGGTCTAAAAATACCCGTCTGTTATTGGGAGTTCTGTTAACTTGAAAGAGATATAGAAAACCAAAAGATGTGGCTACAGTCGAAGCACTTGAATTCTCAGGACACACAAAATCAACTCCATACCCATAATCTAATCTAACCAAAGTTGAAGTCCTCAAGAACCAGGAGCTTGTGGTCCGGAAACCGCTGACATAGGAGTTTAACAGACCTGCAGTGTAACTCATAAACACCATTCTGAACTTCGTTGACCAGTCAGAAACAACTACTCCGAGGGCAAATACCCCTACCGGCATTGAACTACACTGATTGGTCTGGCAATGAAAATTGTTAGAAAGTTTTTTTCAGGTAATGACCAACGTGAATTCAGGGACACAACGGTCCCTGTTTGGGAATCGACCCACTGAGCAGTGGACTCAGACCAATCAGTGTAGTTTAATGCCGGTAGGGGTATTTGCCCTCGGAGTAGTTGTTTCTGACTGGTCAACGAAGTTCAATTTTGCTTGGACAGGGAGCTTCAGCCTATGTCCTTCTGATGAGTCCTAACAAGGACGAAACGCGTCAAGGATTGGCACGGGAAGCCTGAGTCCACTGCTCAGTGGGTCGATTCCCAAACAGGGACCGTTGTGTCCCTGAATTCACGTTGGTCATTACCTGAAAAAAACTTTCTAACAACACCATTCTGCTGATTGGGTGGTATATAACTCCTCCCACAATAATTCTTGCTACACTAGTATAAAGCATAATAAAAAGCTGCTCAATTCCAGTCTAATCAGTAGAAACCAATCATAGATGCCGATATGTGTTTCCTTACATACATATATAAGGACACCCCCACCAATACGCTTCTAGCTTGTTTCAGTAGTTCTGTCAACGCGAAAGCTGTTATAATTTTTTACACTTAATTTCGCCATCCCCAATAGCCCCACATAAGTTGCTCTCAACCAACACTATATAACGTCATAAGTGGAGTAGTTAACTGTAGTTATGAGATCTTGTATTTTAGTGCGAAGACCACCAGTGTTCATGTAAACTACTGTTAATGGGGTGTTTATGCATTTTTTTAAAATTGTTTTGACTTGGAGACTTCAATAACAGGCAGGTCATTTTTGTATTTATAAGAATAACATTCTCGCCTTTTGCTTCACGACATTGTCACAACCCCTATACGTTTCGTCCTGGGACGTCACAACAGGAGTGTGACCTGCGGGCGTAGGTGGGGTTCAGGGTCCTTATTCTTGAAACAGGGGAGTAACGCTCCCAAGATAACGAGTGTTCCGTCTTTCTCAATGATATGCAAATGACAATATAGGTGACAAAGACAGAACACTCGTTCTCCTGAGAACGCTGCTCCCCTGTTTCAAGAATAAGGACCCAGGTAGAGAGAAACTCGCTTGGTATAGGTATAATGAGATAATGTATTGAATAATAATAATATTACCCTAGAAATACTATGATATGACGTCTCTTCTATGGAGGGACGTACTACTTATAGGCCACTCTGTATTATGTACCCTCTGTACGTGACTGAAGACTGAAGCTAGGTTTGAGACAGGTCCAGAAGGGCGTTTCCCATTAAAGGCAGTTTGCACTGGACCTAGTCTGCGGCGTTCAATACTCCCAGAAGGGCGTTTCCCATTAAAGGTAGTTTGCACTGGGAGGAGACTTAGCTAGAGGGGCTTTTCCCATTAGAGGTACTTTGCACTAGCCTTGGTCTGTCGGTAATGGATTTCGGCGCGGTATTTGTACCAAATAAATGCTGACTCGTCGACACACCTTAGTAAAATTGATGTACAGAGTGGCATTTACTTAAGTAGTTGACAATATTTAAGCTCAGTCTGAACTTTTTTGTGAATTTCTTGTTGTTGTTTCGTCACTACTTCTGGACTGGTAAAGACAACTTTTAATGGCCTTACTTTCTGTTCGGTAATTTGGCATACGTGAACCGTTTTCAAGACATTTTGCTTAACTTCACTTAGTCCCAATGTTGTCAGTACATTTGCAACATGTTTTTCATCATTATCAATTCTCTCCTGAAGATTAGACGAGTTGGAATGGGGAACATTATACATCATTACATTACTAGGTCTTTTTGAGCGTTCACTAATTTTATAAGCAAGGCTATCGATGTCCTGACCTGATCCTATAGATGTCACATCTCTTTCGTATGAGCTCATTCTTGTTTTCATAGCATCAACCTGAGTCCTCAACTCCGTGTTGCTTCAATGGAGTTTTTTTGGTCCTCAACACAGTCAGTGATTTGTTGGGATGATATTCTCAATTCTGCGAATTCTTTTTCAATACCCTGCCTAGGAATTCCGTTAGCAATTCCCCAAATACCGACTTCATTTTCTTTTCATCCATGTTTATTTCACATCAATTCTCCCTTTCCTGCTTGTTATCCAACTGATGAGCTACTTTGGCCTGCCGAGCACAACGATGGAAGGCTGAAGCACAGATTTCACAGTCCAAAGAGGTTTTAAAACTTTTTTCGCAATGTTTACAAAATTTTTCGTCTTTGCGTGATATAACCTGACTTTCGATTTTTCAAGAAAATAAACATAATTGACCAATTGTCCAATTTCATTCAATCAGCACTAGAAAACTCCTACCCCAATCCCACAAACAATTATATAACAGGATTACCAAGAATTTTTCAAAACTTATTTTATTAATTACAAAATGAAAATGCACTTGTCAACAATCAGCTGATCTCATGATTAAACAGACAATTACTATAAAAGCTACTAGAAAAGTCCCACCTGCTATACGCTTTCTGGTGCATGTCCGGGCCGCGATTTTACATAGTATACCATGTAGACAGCATCGAGTCTATAAGCTCCGCCTCCAAGTCTAGTCCAGTTTTGGTTCAGTATTGAAAATGTCTGTAATGTGGTATAGAATGTAGTTAGGATGCGCGCCAAATGCGGTATACTTTGTAGTTGGGTTCTCACAAACGCCGCATTCGGCAAAATGGGATGAAATGGAGTGAAACAGCACGACAACGCCCGAAGTATCCAGGGATTCTAGAAACCACGATTCGCATACAATCAAAGCAAGATGGGTGAGCAGAGTACGTTAGAGATTTAATTAAACAAATTACAACCTGAGGTAGAAATAAAAACTTCGAAATTTAAAAGTTGTCCAGAATATAGGGCTCTAATTAGATGCAAATGATGGGGAGTGATTTTGCAGAAGAAGTTAAAGTTTCATGGAAAATCTTAGTGACGATATATATAGGTACAAACTGGATTGTTAGGAGAACGTTTGTGTTTGTTCAAAAATTAGCTTTCCGCAAAATTTCCGTCTGTCCAAGTCCAGCATAACAACTTTAACAAAAATGCACAGAAAAAGGTAGATCTGATTTGCGGAACAGGAAAAAGGGATGCAATTGACATGAAAACTAAAAAAAAAAATAACTAAAGCCACTATCCGACATGACAGTTTTTGGAAAAATATTCTGAATACCCAATACAGGTTTGTTATAAGTTGAAATAGTTATCCCGCGTGCGATCCTGTTACGCGATTATGTACTATACCCCATTTTGCGCACTGCTGATTACATTCTATACCGCATTACAGACATTTTTAATACTGAACCCAAGCTGGACTGGACTTGGAGGCGAAGCTTATAGACTCGATGCTTTCTACGTGGTATACTATGTAAAATCGCGTCCGGGTCATTTCTGCGAAACTTACAAGAAGAATTCTGCTACACATTTTGTAACTTACTATTCGTTGACAATCTCCGGCATATACTTTGTTCTCGTGGATAAGAAGTTTCATTCTTGTTGTCTTTGCTTTCTCTTCGCACACACATTACTGTTACCGAAATACCTACCGAAAATACACCAATAAAAAACTCTATTCAAAACGGAAAGAAAATGCTCAATCACCTGCCCTAGGAGTTAGGTACCTTAAATTGCCCGTGGTGCAAATAAGTTCAAGATGGAGGTTTCAAATTTATCCTTGAATAGGGTAATTTCTTCTGCGGGGGAATTTCGAAACGATTTATTGTAAGCTTTCATGGGACTTGGTACTTGTTTGCGCACTACGTATTTTAGTTTGTAATGTTGTATTCTATTTGGTATTGTTTTTATTTGAAAACATTTGTCTGTAGCCTTTTTGATTCAATTATTCTGTATGGTATGACGTATATTCTGGAGCCAATTTCTGAAATTTTGTAGAACTCAAATATGTTTTATTTTTTTAAGGTCCTGTCCTGCATAATTGATATCAGTAGGTATCAGATTCATGTGTATGATTTTGTCAATGGAATATTCTCTTGAATGATAAAGCTGTTTTGATTATCATAGGGACGTATGGCAAAAAAATACAAACAAATTTTAAATCATTATCGATATATTATACCAAAAAATAAATAACATATGCAATTATCGATAACATTTTAAAATATCACATTTTCATCGAGCTGGTCAAACATCCTTCTATTAGCTCACTTATTCAACAGCTTTTGTATGTCCTGGAAATTTTTACCTTTCGTCTCAGGCAATACCAATACACAAAATATCGACCCAACAACCATAATCATGGCAAATGTCCAAAATGTCCAGCTCATACCCAAATATTCTACCATGTAAGGAAAGCCCATTGTGACTAGGAACGAGAATATAAAATTTGATAGTGATATTGCAGTTGAAGCAATGGCTTTCACGCTGGTATGAAACAGTTCTCCAGCTACTATCCAAGGAATAATTCCCAGAGCAATATTGAAGAAAGCCATAAAGATCATAAGACTAGCAACAGGTACAAATGATAAAGCTGATACATCCACTCCAGCATTGAGCATGTAAAAATATACACCCAAAGTGAATAAAGAAAGTGCTTCCACTATACAAGAACTAGTTAACAGTATTTTTCTTCCCATTTTATCTACTAAAAACGAACTTATAATATTTGCCACAGTTCCAACTATGCCTAATAAAATAACAGACAGTGTTGGAGAGATAGAGTCACCCGCCAGACTGAAAATGGTTTGAGCATAACTTACTACAGCCAAGATTCCTGAAAATTGTTGAAATGCCATAAGGAGAACGCAAATCATAAGACCTTTTCTTAACCCACGCTCTTTGAAGAAAACTGATAAAGTGACTTCATCTTCATCTTTAGAATCAATAGTATCTTTCATAAATGCTAATTCCTTCTCAATATTTTTACTGCCCCTTAATTTCATCAAACTAATTTCAGCTTCTTCATGTCTATTGCCAACAAGCAAATCATACGGACTGTCAGGAACGAAAAAGCCAAATAATATATAAAATAATATTAGTGGAACCAAATGCACCAAGCTGAAGTATCTTATTTGTAGCACAGGTCCAAGAACATATACCAACAGGCTTCCAAAATTTGACATTACACCAGGAATGCTGCCTAGTAGTCCTCGATTTTTGTCCTCAGAAATTTCAGCAATAAAACCTCCAAGGACTGACCAAACAGCACCAGTACCCACACCCATAAAAAATCTTGCTAAGATAATCATTTTTGGTTGATATGTTATCATGCACGTGGCATGCGCTACAACAATCGGTGCTATTGATAGTAGCAATGTATATTTTTTGGTAGAAAACTTGAGTAGAAAAATTGTTAGAGCTGGTCCGAATATTAATCCTAAGCTCATAGCTGCCACTATCCATGCTGATTCTGATGTGCTGACAGGCTCACCCAGTGGGTTCAAGTCTGAATCTGGTGATTGGAGTTTTGGTAGGATTGGTGAGGTCCATGAATAGCACGATCCAGTGGCAAAGGCAGTTAGTGAAGCTGGAAATTAAAGAGTTTCTTTAAGCTGAAATTCAATTAAGGACCTTTTGATATCTGAGATGTCAAAATATTTAAGCAACTGCTATACCAGTGATATGTATAGAGAGATTTTCTAGATTAATTCCAATTAATTTATAGGTTTTATGAATTTTTCGGACTTACATAAGTAGCATCTACATACTTAGCTTTAATTAAAAAATGGCATTCCAAGATTTAAAAAAGCGATCTTTTCGACAATTGTATTTCAAAGAACCTACCCACAGATTGTCGATGTCACAATGCTAACTTTTCGAAAAATTAAAAGCCAAACTTAGGATTTAAGAGATTTTTAAAGTTGCTGGAACCAAATGAACATAAAGGTCTAAAAAGGCTTTATAATATATGTCAATCGAATTATCTCTCACAGAACATTTAGCATTTCAAAATTAGATAAATTCTTACCTGCCAATGTAGCAAAATAGGCAAATCTGGCACTTTTCTCGCCAGAATATCCCATTTTCACTGCTGGTTATTGATGTTAATTAAAGACGAATGTCCCTTTTTTGCAAAGAAAAAAGCTGACTGCGACTCAATGCTGAAATTTCATCATCTTTTATAACTATGATTTGGCCTATGGTAGAGCTGAATCTGTCATGCCTAATCCTGCTATGACTTGATATTACAACAACTCCTCAAAATATGAAGTATATCCTATGGTACGGTTTGGGTCTAAAGCAAAGCTGTACGAAGTCTGTTTTAACTTGAGGCTTTTTGAATTATGAATACGTAAAATTTTGCTATTATTGAAATTTATTATTGACACATAAATTGAATGTTGAACTTATTAAAAATACAAAGTCATTTAAAATGCTGAGCACTTTGTTGTAGGAGGAACCTAATCAGAACGCAAATATTAATAATTCATGTTCCTGACTAATTTATACATACAAATTCACTAAAAAAAATATATTTGTTTTTGGATTATCTTTACTGTCGCTTCTGTTTAGCTATCGTCTGTATATTGTCTAACAAAGATATCCATTTAAGCTACTTAAGCGATGTTACGGAATCAACTACACGTGTTTTTGAATGAAAACTGGTCTGAGCTTCTTATCCTTAATTAAACTAATTTGAAATAATTATATATTTAGAAAGGATTAAGTTACTACGTATAATGTAACATCCATTTGAAATAGCACCAAATGCTGACTTTTGGCTAATTCTAAGAGAAGAACCTGGTCAGATTTGAAATGTTGATTTACGTCTCTATGTGTTGAAGTTTGTGATATGTAAACTGATGATAGGCTACCTCGGACTGTAGGATAGAGAAAAGAATAAAGAAAGATGATTGTCGCGAATAATTCTATGAATATATATATGTTGCGAAATTGCCTCGAGAGCTCGGCCGCATTCTTGAAAATTTGTTGTTTATTCATATGAGCGCGTCTTTTCTGGAAATTCTATTATATCGATTTGATGTTTTTCTAGATAGAGTACGTTTTCGACTATGAATAGCGCGTAGTAATACCCCACTAAGCAAAAAAACATCGCAATTTCGTCACATCTTTGTTTTTAAGGTTACATGTTACGTTATTCAAAAAGGATCTGTTACGCCGCCTTAATGGAATAGTGTCGTTATAAGTCCTCAAACATAACAAAATCGCAGTTACGTTTATAAATTAACGTTTTTTTTTCGTAACTATACCATAACAGTTTCGTTTTTGGGATGTTCTTATAACAAACTCATGACAACGTTATATTTATGTTATTAGGTTTCGTTTTTGTTTCGAAACTATGTTATAGTAGTTTCATTTTTGCGATGTTTTTATAACGAACCCATGATGTTCTATTATATCAATAGGTTACGTTTTTGTTTCGAAACTATACCGTTAAAAATGTTATTAGTTACTACTTAAATACAATAAAACGAAGAATTCTTATTTAATTTATTTATCAAATTGAAAAATTATATGATTTCTGGGCTGACCTCTGGTAATGCTAAAACAAATAATACAGAATCGTTATTTTTTTAATTAACTTTTAAAAGGATAAAACTTACCAATTTTTTTGGAATTTCGGCTTGAGGCGCTGATTCGAATGAATAAACCGTCTCATCACCACCTTTCTCCGTCACCTTTTCACCAGGGACTTAGAAAAAACAAACTAATTAATCAATCAATAAATATTTTAGATCAAAATCAAACCTTTTAGAATATGCTCGATTTTGTAAATCCCTTATTTTGAAATAATTTTTTTGGCCAGTCCACGAACAACGTATAGACAATTTACTGGCGAAAAGATTGACCAATCCCCTTCTCAAGAATTCGGCCCTATTTCTGCCTGCTTCTTATAGGTATTTATATCGAAAAGTAGGAATTATACCAGCACAACCACAATACCTAAAATAATAACAAATACATCATACATATACTTTTTGGTAAAAAATAAACTTACTTTGAGATCCATCTTCAGAGACTCGCCCTGTTTTGTTTAGCACATCAGTTTCAGAGGAGCACAATACAATAGGCAGGCATAGGTACCTATACCTTCACAGTTTCTACCTAACTACCAAGTACCACACACAAAAAAAAACAGTCCAAGAAACACATAGGATGATATCTATAATTAAAATTATTTTTATAGCATAAAATAACGTATATTTTACCCAATTTTACCTAATAAAAATCCAGAAACACCGATTTTTACACAGCAGGCCTGACCTAACCTATAACCTCTAACCTGAATCAAAACAAGACTGCGGCGTTGTTCGAAAATAATGGAAGTGATACGTCCTTTGGGACGTTTCAAGCATGTGTTGTACCTAACAACATTAAAAACGTTATATTACCAAACAAGTTAGTTTCGAATTTGCAACGTTTATTTCGAAATGAAACGAAAATATAAAACAGAAAACGTCACAAACGTGTCATCACGTGAAACGTAGCAAGAATGTAAATAATATACTGTCCATATAACGTCAAATACTCAACGTTGCTAGGGTAAACATCTATTTCACGTTATTGGAACGTTGGTTTTACAACAGAACCAATACAATTGCAAAATAACGTTCTGAAAACAGGAATATGCAAAACGTTTTGAAAAGTAGTAACAATAATGACTTTACAACGTTACATAAAAAACGTTCAATGAGTTTCATTTTAAAAACGTTACAAAACATCCCAAGGATGTTTCTTGCTCAGTGGGAGGTAGGTTTCAGTTTAGTCTGAATACGAAATTTGTTGTGTACGTTCGGATAAGCGATAGGTGAATTTCATATAAAGTCAACTAGTTCAATCAAAGTTGTTACTGTTGAAGTGAAGTGAGTTTTAGCGAACCCGGAATCCGTGACAATTGGAGCATTAATTCAAGCTAATTAGTAGGATTCTTCAGCAAGATAATTAATAGTGCATTAATTTGAGCTGAATAGTGAAATAATTGGCATGATAACTACTGGACGAGTTTGAGGTAATTAGTGGAATAATTTGCAAGACAATTGGTGTATTTATTTGAGCTCATTAGTGCGGAAACAATCAGTGAACTGTGAACTTTTATTGAACTGAAATACTGACTTTATTACTGATGGCTTTGACATCGAAAAACAAGCTCAAAAGCGTATTCTCTGGAGACTTCTAGAAACTTCTATAGAATTCTATTTGGAAACGGTGAGTGATACAAAAATAGCGACTTCACTACTGATTTCAACATCGGGAAACAAATCCGCAGACTAATTTTGTTAGAATATCCCATCGTGTTTTTGTTCTAGTTGGAAATTTGACTTCGATTCACAACTTTAAATTCGAAATCAGGTTTCAAGAAAGACACAGAATATTCTATGGTAAATACACGACAGCAAACAGCCGAAACGGAGCAAGTTAATCAAATGTTGGCGGACTTCATGAAAAATTTACACGACAAGGGACTAGGAGAGGAAGACGGAAGACCAAAAGGGAAAAAAGAAGGGAGAAAGATAAATGAGTAGAACAAGATCGGCTTGCAGCACTTCAACAACAAGGAGACTAAAGACATAAAGAGCAGGTCGGCTTGCAGCACTTTTACAACAACGAGAAGATAGAAGACAGAAAGCAATACAAAAATAACAGGACCGACTTGCGTCTTTGAGGAACAATCTAGACTCGCGGAAATTCTGGAAGTGCAAGATAACAAATTCACGATTGCAATGGAAGTATGTGAAGAAGTGCGCGAAGAAGTTGTGAGAGCTCGAAGTTGGAATCATTCGCCAAGAAATGGATAGTGTTCAAAATAAAATCAAAAAGTTGGAATGTGACTTGAGATCAGGAAATAATTCCAACAACTGTTATTAAATTTAGGCCACCACCCTACAACGAACAAACATCATGGGCGATGTAGGTACAAACGTGAATTCAGGACTGTTGCAATGGCTAATGGTTGGAACTTGGCTACGGCTCTACGGGATTGTAGCATTGCATGGTCCTTATAACTATAATAAACTATGGTGCTAACTTGTCGATGCATTAGAGCGTCGCTATACGGAGATCAACACTGAAGGCAGCTTTTCCAGGTACAGCTAAAAACAAGGCGGCAAAAAGCTGCAGAAAGCCTACAAGAATCTGAAACCGACATCCGCCGTCTGGTTGATTTGGCCTATCAGGAAGCAGCAACAAACATGCGAGAACAACTAGCAACCGAAAATTTTATACATGGAATAAAGAGATATAAGTGTCCATGGATTGCTGTTCATAACCAAAGGATCAAGTAGCAGTGAAGCTCTAATTAAAAGCCCTATGAATCGACACGGCCTATGAGATTTCCGAAGCAAAGATTATAGCTCTTCCGATTCGTGAAGAAACAGAGCTAATAGGAGAAACTAAAAGATGAAGGAACAACTGGAAGAACTGGAGAACTGAAAAGGAAGCATTTAAATATCACCGCGGCAGAGAACATTTTAAAAGTGATTGTAGAGAACGATTGAGATATTGCTTTCCTTCTAATGATTCTCAGCCTTCAACTACCGAGATCTGGTTCTCCATCTGATCACTGTCAACCTTCGATTCAGAAGTTGCAACGCCAAGCATGCCCAGATCAAGACTAGAGTTGCCTCAGAATTGATTAGCGAGAAAAAGTTCCTGTTAGAAGCTTCCGATTTGATACGGATCAAGAACGGAGTCCCGAACACCTGGGCACTGATCAACTGGAAGAGAGTGACCTCGACCTCGAATTATAGGATTCTGGTGATAGATAAACAGAAAATAGAAATGGAAAATCGGGCACGCGAAAAAAGTAGGTCCAGGATCATGAAGATAGGTGGATTACTACTTCTGCTGATTCCGAAGGTCGAAGTTAACTCTCAAACGTTCGTTCTGCGGATTCTCATTAAAAAGGGGGCTACCTTAGACTATATACCTACAATACTGTTGAGACAGGACAAGTCATCCATGAATCACTAAATAGTTTGACCCAATATCAACAAGCGCTTAGAATTACTTAGCAATGAGTGCAGCCAAAGATTTGTTGTGGTGGGAGAACGCTGCAGCCGGAGGGGTGCGTCCTTTGACGTCAAGCGGTATCCGTGTGGTTGCCTATATCCTTGTCTTATATGAGAAGTTGAAAAAGGACATGACATAAATACGATGGATCTATTTTACTACGCGGAGCAATGTGGTGTTTATAATATGCATCAATGTTGAAGCAAAGCAAACAGGCACTTTGTCCTGTCTCTACAGTATTGTAGGTCTAAGGGTGCTACGAGTGCTGCGATCATCCACGAATGCGCCGGAAAGGCAATTGGCAGCATGGCAAACAGCAGGGAACAGGCAGCCATTCTTGTAGTATCCGGGACGTCAATCTAAGGGATGAGGGTTCTGAAAGGTCAGGTCACAGTCCACAGACAGGCATAGAGATGTTAGACAAATGAATAGATGGGATCATTACGGATCTGAGTGGAGGTATAGACGTAGAAAAGAAGGTGTTGCATCTTGACAAAGTAAGATCGGAACGATCTGATTTGAGGGAAAGGCAGTGTTACGAAATTGCCTCGAAAGCCCGGCCGCATTCTTGGAAAATCATTGTTTACGTATGGGAGCACTTCTTTACTGGGAATTCTGTTATATTCGATTCAACGTTTTTCTGGATAGATCCTAACTACGTTTTTGACTATAAATAGCGCGTAGTGATAAGCTTGAATTTAGATTAAATAAAAAGAGAAAAGAATCCAGCTTTACAAGGTAGAAGTTACCATGTATTCCTTCTGAAAAAAATTAGACGTAAAATAAGTATAGAAAAAGGAAAATTTGTAACTGGAGTATCATCGTAAACTTTCATAACCACTCTATGACAATGTTTCCTTAAAGCACCTATGAGTATGAACGAGATTTTTAAGTCATTGGAAAGTGAAAGGGAGTATATGCACTGCTGCCGTACTTTGTAACAACATAGAGAAGAAATTTCCTTTCCATGATAGAAAATTGAAGAAACGGCACTCTCTAACACCACTCGGCTAGAGTCGCTACCCCGAACTACCTGCTCGTGTCGAAGGAAAAAGAAAGATCCCTTTGGGTATTGCTATTTTTCTTTTTCATTCTACATAATCACAATTGACGTAAGCTTGTCTTCGTGTTATCTTTTTTTTTTGGAAAGTTGATTTTCTGTTTTGATTTGTGGTTAGGGTGACTTTTGTTTGATTTTTTCGCGACTGATGTTGACGGGAATAGCAATGAAACAGCATACATGGGGGGAATTAACAGATCATTTAAACGCAATTGGACTAGGAGCAAGAATAGTGGAGAAGTGTCTGACGGTACATATTATACAGACATAATTGAGAATTTTTCCTTATGAAAGAATCATGACAGGCACTCCCATAATTCGCATTTACATCAAGAATTACTAAGCTTTTGTCAGAAATCATTCTCAATAGGCTGTAGAATGGCCTGTTGTTCTATAATTGCCGATTTTTTTTTTATCGATGTCTGGTAGCTTCATAGCTACTGCTGTGTAGACAGTACCCAGATATAATCCTAAGTCAGATAAGGAAAACTCTACTCTTCTGATCAATAAACAAGAATATGAATGCAAGGTAGGTATCTAAAATGTTGCCAAAATTTCAAAACCAACCAAAGTGATATTTCTTCAGGAAAACATACAAACCTGGCGTAAATCTCAGACCAGTTGTAGGTTGTATTGATTTCTCTGATCTCATTTTAATATGGAAAACTTTATTGAGCTTGGTCACGTTCTGGTATATTTGGATGTGTTCAGTATTTTTACAAATATCTCTAGAAACTTGGTTAGGGACTCGTTAGGGATATTCTAAAAAAATATTTCAAGCTTCAAGCAAGTTTTAAAGGAAACATTTCTGATTTGATACCTAGTTGCTCTTCTTTCTGATACAGAAGGAAGGAATTCGATACTCCTGAATCATTTATTATCCAAGTAGAAGAAGAAGCAAGCAGGAAATGATGTTTCCTGTTCTCGGCAGTTTTCCTCATTTAATAAGAAAATTTTTATCTGGAATACTGTATCCATGTTTTCTGACTAACTTTTTGTATTTTATATATTTAATTCCTGACAAAAAAATGTATGTCTGTATACATAATATGGCTACAATAGATTCCGGTTTTATCCGAAAATTTGAAGCGTCCGATGTGGATTATTTTAATTGGAACTTGGAGTGATACGAATTATTTCCTGTTTGTGTTTGTTCATTCCCATAATTCTTCGAAATTATCTACTATGTACTAGAAAAGTTCCACCTGCGATACGCTTTATGGTGCATTTCTGCGAAACAAAGGAGAAGAATTCTGCTAAACTTTTTGTAGTTTAGTATTCGTTGACAATCTCCGGCATGTACTTCGGTCACGTGATCTCGTGGATCAGAAGTTTCATTCCAATTTTCAGGCTGCCTTTGCATTCTCTTTGCAAACACGTTATATACTGTTACCTAGATACCTACCGAAAACTCCGAAAAGTCCATCAATGCAAAGCTATATTTTCACATTGAACTAAACAAACACTCTGGAACGGGCGCACTGCTTTATGCTAGTGTGCCAAATTATGATGTATGCAACCCAGCAATACGGAGGGATCATTGTCTCGCTCGCACTCATTGCAGTTGATGTAAAAGGAAGAAGAGCTTCCTCATCTTCCTAACCTCAATGATCCAAACACTTCAAACAGCTGTTCTCAGAAGCAGCCATAGTGCAGAGAGAGATGCAAATCCCTCTTGTTTGTTGTCCTTCCTGGCACAAACCCTCGCATAGAAACAATTATGCAGCCGCCTTTCTAATGTGTTTGTTTAGTTCATTGATTTTTCGGAAAGAAAACGTTGAATCACCTGCTCCAGCAGTTAGAAACATTAGATTGCCGGTCCAAATAAGTTTGAAATAGAGGTTTCCAATTTATCTCTGAATAGGGTATTTTTTTCTATAGGGCAAATAAAATGATTCAGCTTACCTATTTGTGACTTGACAGCCTTTTTGATTCAATTATGCTGTCTGTCTGACGTACATTCTGGAACTTGTATATGTTTTATTTTTACGGGCCTGTCCTGCATAATAGGAGACATCTGTTTTGGCAATTGGATATTTCCATAGACATGATATTTCCATAGGTAAATAATAATGCTGTTTTGATTATTATAGGGAGAACGTATGGCAAAAAAAATAAAAACAAAATTTAAATCATTATCGATATATTATACCAAAAATAAAAAACATTCGCAATTATCGATAACCAACTTATTATTAAAATATCACATTTTGTTCGACCTGGCATTGGAAAAGCCTGGTAGCTCATTTGTTCAACAACTTTTGTATGTCCTGGAAATTTTTACCTTTCGTCTCGGGCAATACCAATACACAAAATATCGCCCCAACAACCATAATCATGGCAAATGTCCAAAATGCCCAGCTCATGCCCAGATATTCTACCATGTAAGGAAAGCACATTGTGATAAGGAACGTGAATATGAAATTTGATAGTGATATTGCAGTTGAAGCAATGGCTTTCACGCTGGTATGAAATAGTTCTCCAGCTACTATCCATGGGATAATTCCCAAAGCAATATTGAAGAAAGCGATAAAGATCATAAGACTTGCAAGAGGTACCCATGAAAAAGCTGATACATTCACTCCAGCTTTGAGCAGGTAAAAGTATGCTCCTAAACTGAATAGGGAAATTGCTTCTACGATACAAGAGCTAGTTAACAGCATTTTCCTACCCATTCTATCAACTAAAAATGTGTTTGTAATAGTTCCCACAAGTCCAAATAAATTCAATACAATAACAGAATGCGCTGGGCGAATAAAACCACTCGCAAGATTGAAAATGGTTTCGGCATAACATATCACAGCCACAATTCCTGAAAATTGTTGAAAGAGCATCAGAGCTATGCAAATCATAAGACCCTTACGTAATCCACGATCATTAAGAAAGACAGATAAAGTTACTTTGTCTTCACCTTTAGTATCAACAGTATCTTTCATAAATGCTAATTCCTTCTCAACATTGTTACTGCCCCTTAATTTCTTCAAACTAATTTCAGCTTCTTCATGTCTATTTCCAACAAGCAAATCATACGGACTGTCAGGAACGAAAAAGCCAAATAATATATAAAATAATATTAGTGGAACCAAATGCACCAAGCTGAAGTATCTTATATGTAGCACAGGTCCAACAACAGAAGCCAACAAGCCTCCAAGATTTATCATTATACCAGAAATGCTGCCTAGTAGTCCTCGATTTTTGTCTTCAGAAATTTCAGCAATAAAGCTTCCAAGGACTGACCAAACAGCTCCAGTACCCACACCCATAAAAAATCTTGCTAAAATAATCATTTTTGGTTGATATGTTATCAACAGCGTGGCATGCGCTACAAATATTGGTGCTATTGATAGGAGCAATGAGTATTTTTTGGTAGAAAATTTAAGTGATAGGATTATTAAAGCTGGTCCGAATATTAATCCTAAGCCCATAGCTGCCACTATCCATGCTGATTCTGATCTGCTCACAGGCTCACCAAGTGGGTTCAAGTCTGAATCTGGTGATTGGAGTTTTGGTAGTATTGGTGAGGTCCATGAAAAGCACGTACCAGTGGCAAAGGCAGTTAGTGAAGCTGAAAATTGAAGAGTTCTGTTAAACTGGAATTTAATTAAGACACTTTTTATACCTATCTGACAAATATGGCAAAATATTTAAGCAGCTGCTGTAGCAGTGCTTTGTATAGAGAGATTTATTTTTGTGTGAAAATTTACTTTTTAGATTATTTGTCTCAAAAATTCTAGATGCAATTGCAAAGGAGTGGTAGAACAGTGTATAATTTTTATAGGATTTCTGATTTTTATCTTTTAAGCAATTCCGAGATTTAGAAAACGGTCTTTTCCACATTTGTCTCAAAGTAAAAATTGTTAATGTCACATTGATAACTTTTCAAAAAATTAAAAGCCAAATTTAGGCATTTAGGATTTTAGCAGATTTTTGTGTGGTTGGAACCTAAATTTTAAATCAATTACATATGCACGGTGATTGTCGTATCCCGTGCATTAGAATTCAATTGGATTGCAGGTGGATTAATAGAGATAGATAGCATCTAATCCACCTGCAATTTAATGCACGGGCGATGTAAATCACCCTGTATATTATTTCACAAAAACTTGACGTATTTTTTTTTTAAATATTCCTCATCACATTATTAATGTAACTCTTTATAATTTTTTTTAACTACCTATGTGTAGTAGGTACTTTTGATTTTGTGAAATTCATTTTTCCAAGAAAGTGAAATACAAAAATTATTTCTTCAAAAAATCAAACTACCTCACAGAACATTTGAAAATTAGATAAATTTTTACCTGCCCATGCAGCAAAATAGATAAATCTGGCACTTTTCTCGCCAGAATCTCCCATCCTCACTGCTGGTAATTGATGTTGATTAAAGACAAATATCCTTTTTTTGCAAAGAAAAAACCTGACTGCGTGTCAATGCTGAGATTTCATCGGTTTTTATCCTGCTGTGACTCGATATTAAAACCACTCCTCAAAACATGAAGCGTATGGTATGATTTGGGTCTGAAACAAAGTTGGATGATGATGTCTGTAGGTATTTAGTTTGGTGCTTTTTGAACTGTGAATACGTAAAACATTTTTATTATTGAAACCCCATCAATCTGAGGGTAAACTTAACAAAACACGAAGTCATTTAAAATGTTGAGCACTTTGTTATAAGAGGAACGTAATCAGAAAGTAAATATCAGTAGGGTAGAGTGGGGCAGCTTCGGACGGATTTGGTTAAGGTGATACCGAACTTTTACCACCATTTTTCGTGATAATCAAAATAAAAATAAGTTGTCATTTGTCCGAAGGTGCCCCACGGTGGGGCAGTTTTGGACACGCATGGGGTAACTCCGGACATTATACTTTATACACAGTTTATTTTTTGACAGGTATATTTTAAATAATTTAGCATCTATCTAAACATCAAAACTTATCATCTAAAGGAACTTCAAACATACAAACCTATAAACTTTGGCATTAGCCAACAAAAATAAATAATATAAAAATAACAAAAATAAATAATGACTAAAAAACGTGAATTAAACATGTTTTTATAATTAAAGTGTACAAGAATTTGTTCCAGATTAAAAGAACTAAAATTTACAATGAATTTTAAAAATTTAGCCATGCGAGCATTTTCAGCATGGGAAGTTGATAGTCCGAATGTGCCCCACCCTGTACTGTCCGTATGTGCCCCACATGTACAAAATTTTTAAAAAAATTAAAAAAACAGAAAATTATGTCTTGTTGATTCTTGAACTATAGGTTATGTGGTGTGGAACTTTCATACTTTGTACGTATACCCCTTTAAAACTTAAAAATAACATCACCAAATCGTGCAAAACCTTACGAGTAGAGGACATAATACTTGGTTGGGGTCACTATTTATGTATTTCTGGTGATTACTCCCAAGTTTTTCAAGATACCGGCACAAAATTTTGTCTGGCGTTTTGAAGCAAGCACTGGTACCAACTGTTAAAATGCCGAAACGCGTTTAGTTTTGGAAGGCGGTAAATTCAAAATGTCCGGAGGTGCCCCATGTCCGAACCTGCCCCACTCTACCCTACCTAGTTCATGTTCCTCAATAATTTTTACACATAAATTTACTAAAAAAAAGTTTTTTTTCTGTATTATCTTTACTGTCGTTTCTCAGAACAAAATCTTGTCTCTTCAAACTTTTCCGTTTACCTCAATGGTTGAACACAATATTTCCGAGAAAAATTGTGATCGAATGCATGTCGAGATTCGTATGAGATTCTACTTGTTAATCGTAGGTGGCTGGAGTTCGCAATAAACAAAAAATTTAGTAATCTGACAACTGAATAATGACCTGTCAAAAAATAAATTCATCACTTACAATTATCAGGTACAAATTCATACGTTTGTGCTTCGTGTCTAACGACAATGTTTCAAGAGACAAAAAGAGTTCTAAATTGAATTGGTTCCCAACTGAATGATATTTTTTGAAAAATTCAAATATGCAACCAAAGTTTTGGAGGCTCCAAAGACAGGGAGGCCCACGAAAAAATGTCTTTATGGGGTCCTGTACCTGAAAGCGTTGCACCATCCAATTCTCCATGTCATGAAACATACCAACATAAAATACTTATTCTTAGGGGCGAATTTTAGGGAGCTTTAACTCTGGCTGGCCATTCGCCAAACATAAAAAATATGGGTCATCTATTTTTTTTTTTAAGAATCTTTGAACAAATTTTGTTGCATTTATTTCCCGACACCCCGTATATTGAGTTCATTATTGATAGATTTTGTTTCCGGATAGTGTACCCTTGCCTTGCCTTACCTTCCTTTTCATTTGTATTTTGTCGGGCTCTGGGTCTAAATATGTTAGGAAAACCAGGAATATAAGGCTTTAAGCAAGTAAATCGACAGAAACATCCGAAAAGAGCTAAGAGATACCAAGGTGATCAAAAATACAATCGGAGACAATATAAGTATGATAGATCCAATCCAATCATCAAATGGAAGGCCAAAAGTGACTGAGAAGGAAAACAAACAGGGTGTTTATTTGTGGAAATAAAAAAGTTATAGGGTTTTGAAAAACACCCAGTATATGTATAGAATTAGTAAACTTAATATCCTCGACCTCAGGGAGGTGACATAGAGCAAACGGCCTGATGACTGCTTGAAAGAGTTTTCAGCAAGGTATAATATAGTTAGGTACGGATCTCTATACCAGAGATTTCAAGAAAATAGAGCAGAGACCAAGTTTTTTAGAGAAGTGTTACGATAAAACATTCAGGAAATGGGGCAAGGTAAGTAGAAGAAAAAATATTTCATTGCGGGCAAGAATTTTTCACAAAAAAGGATTCCAGTAAAGCAAACAAAATACAGATATGATGATGAAATATTAGGGGCAAGATTTTGAAAAAAAAAATCTTATAAGAAGCAAAAAAAATTAAATAAAATATTGTGAAACTGTAACATTACCTCAGTCTTCTTGTCAGCTGAACAACGGTTTTACAACAGAACTTTGTCACCACAACTACGAATTCGGGAGGTGCCCTTTGATGATGCTTATCTGGTCACGTAGTAAAAAAATGTATTTCGCCAAAATTTTCAAATCTAACATGAATTGAACCAACAGAGATAACCTCTATGACATGGTCGCCTTCTTATGTAAGGTGAAATGTGGTGACATCCAGTTTTAATCAAAGTTGGATTAATTTTAGAAATTGCGAAATCCCGGCATCTCTGGCTCGTGTGTGATTGTCTTTTAGGGAATTATTTGTTTGGTTTGTTACAACGTATGTATTTTACCGAATGTGAAATATTATTGATCGTTTATAAAATCTCTAAAGAAGGATAAAGGAACATCAAGTGTTCTTGAGTATAATGGACAGCTTATCATGAATGCTTTTGCTGACTACTTTAAAAAAAATGATGGAGTTCACGATGGTCTTAACATGAAGAGCTAAGACACAGATGGATTATCTCGTCTATTTATATTATTGTGATTGGAGTATTTTGCTAACAGAGAGTCAATACTCGATAGTGTAAATATTAATTCATAATTAAATATTAGTTCAATAAGTCATCATTTTTATCTCTTTGCTAATATTTCAAAAATCAACAGTAGAATTTTATGTTGCTATAAACATAAGCAAATCAAAACAGATAATATAAAATCCAAGTTGCTTGCTGTGAACGAAATTAAACATTGGGTTATTAGGCTTATTAAGGTACATTTTGGCTTTTCCCTTGGAAACAGTAGATTTGATATTATAGTTGGCATAACTAGCCTCTCTCGTTATTGATTGAATCAATATCAATATGGAACTTGCATGAAATAACAATTATTACATTTCATCAAATAAATGAAAAACACAGGACATTTTCGCCAAATTTTTAGAATCTATTCAAAAATACAATCTTTATGGATTTTCAAAAATGATGTTGCCGTCTCTTATAGCGATACTACTTAATGACGTTACATAGTATTAGTCTTTTTATTCCTGTAACTTTGTTAATTTCGAAGATACCTATTCAAATTTTGTTTGCACAGATCAGTTCCAAACGAGAATTCGAAAATGCACAGCAAACAGAAAAATTAAGGAATGAGATTTTTTTTCACACTCGCACACATCTTTACGTAGGTACTTGGTTGTAGTCCGTACAATGAACTTTTACAGTACTGAGTCCTAGGTAGGCACAGTCAAGGACGTATATAAGGGGGGGGGGGGGTTTTGGGGGGTTCGAACCCCCCCCCCCCCCATTGAACCGAATAAATTATTTTTATTGAAGAAAAATAAACGTTTTTGGGCGAGGCAACCGAAAAAAAAATTCGCCTTTGACGATATACTGATGGGCTCCAGAGCTGTGCGGTACTCGGGTACGGTACGAGTACTCTTCATTTGTACTCTAAGTATATTTTTAATTACTCGGTACTCAGGCCAAGATACTTTCTGAATCGCGTACTTGTACTCGTACTTGGACTGCTTAAGAATATAGAAAATAGGTACCCGGTACTTTATATTGTACTGAGTAATTTTCAAAATACCCGCGTACATGTGTTTTTACTTAAATACATTTGTTAAACCCGGGTATTTTCATTGTTTTCGAATACATTCGCAGTTGGTGAGTAAAATTATTAAACTCTAACTAAATACATATTTATTTGGCCACAAGTACATTTCCAGAAAAGTTGAGATCTGACATTAGGTCTGTTCCAACACGTCAAAAACCGTCCCATGAACGGTTTCGAAACCACTCAGTGAACGAATTTCGGTTTCTACGCGCATATTTTACAGTTTGCCCAGAATCATGACGATAAATTCTACGGTTTCCTGCTGTGTTGGAATAGACCTATTATGTTACGGTTACGATATGACCAATTTTCAGCCATTTCTTGTTAAGCATCAGATGCTTAGCATGCGTTCCATTGATCGTTGTGATTTGCAAACGAGAATTTTAAACTTTTCTGTGCACTGTGACATTGTGTTTGTGACCATAAATTTGGAAATTCTGATTTCCTTTTACAATAATTATCAAAAGCTACCTTGAAGCACAACCCAAACACAGTCATAAGCAACCCAATTGCAAACCCATAAAGCACATCTTATGATTTAGATTTTGGAAAACTTTGAAAGGGCATAACTTTTTTTCTATTATAGATAGAAAGCTAAAATTTTCACTGAATTTTACCTCAATAAAAAGAGGTTATTTGAGACTCCGAACCCAAGGGCTTCATTTTCGAGAAAATCAGCTTTGAATCTTTTGTGAAATTCGAGACAAAGTTTTGACTTTGTGCCTCAATATCTCCAGAAGTATTTAAGATAGAGAATTGAATCTTATTCTATCTTAAAGATAATTTAATTCTAATTCAGAATATATAATTTTACATTTATTTGTTGCAATAATAACCTAGTAATGAGCGATTTTGTGAGACAATGTCA